TTAGAACAAAACTAAATATATTATATCCACTACGATCTATCGATGAAACATTCGTTATTGGAGAAATTCTGATGATCATTAACATCACTGACCCAGAAATTTTACTGTATCTGATACTAATAATTCGTTGTCATCCTAAAATGGTAAACGGATTTACTTTTTAGCGAAAATGAAATGTAAACTCACGAGGTCACAGAATTCAATACAGGTAATCTATTGTTAATAGGAATGGAGTCAAAAAAAAAACCGACTTTTTTTTAGATTATCTTATATTCGAAAATCTCACCTATAGTATCAGACAGGAAAATCGAAAAAATTTTCAAAAATTTATTCCTGAATTAAAAAGATGTAAATTTTATCAGATTCAAAACATTTATTAATTTACAAAATTTTTTTTTACAATTTTTGTCCTTTTTGAAATAAATAAAATTTAAAATAATGAAAATCATTTCATAAATAAAAATATGAATATCGCAAAAAGAAATTTGTGATTTTCTGAATTTTAAGAGTATGTTTAGTCTTTTTTTTCCCTTGGCTTTTATGAAAAGTTTTTTTTAGATATAAATCTAAAGCATGGATCAAATCAAAACTTCATCAAAACATACTTACTACTCCTATTAAAAATAATATAAATGAACCATGAAATTTTCCACATTAATTGCAATCATCTTTGGCCTATTAACATCGATCCCATCAAAGGTAAACATGAATTATCATGACAAAATATTTAAATTTTTAATAATATCTGCTCTAATTACTTATATATATTTGTTGGATTGAATTAAATAGCTGATCATAAAGTGTGGATACATAACAAGGTTATGGCTGGTACACATACATTTGTTACAGCTTCCTTAACAAACAATTCGCCAGCAAAAGATGCAATTGCTTTCAAGGATTATTCTTTGACTATTCCTGATTACCTCGATTTCGCTGTAGAAAAAGGTATTTCTAAACGGCGTGGCCCAATCACTAATGATAGGGATAAATGTATCGCTTTCATGATGTATTTGAATGTTAAACCAATTTTATTCGTTGAGCGGCAAAATGATCATTCATTATTTTTTTTTAATTTTTTTATCCATTTCTTATATTATGTCCATTCATTTAATTTATTTTATTGTCATAATGATTTTCAAATTTGGCACTTCATAAAGATTGTATAATGATAGTTAGAAGAATCCCTTAAATTGACATAATTATTACCTTATTTCTGCTATATTTTTATATATTTTTAAACTATATTTTATTTTATCGATTTTCATAACTAGTTTTAAAAATAACTTAGTTGAATTAAATAATTTTCATATTGATAACATTACATGGGATATCAATTACAAACGTGCATCATGACAGTAACACATAAAACCTCCATCTTGATATTCAGCACAAGCCTGAGAGCCGACAATCTTTTGAATTTATACTCCAATCGTTTATATTATTTTGACAGTAATAATAGTGCCAGTAATCATTATAGTTAACAAATCGCCTAATATTATTTATGGTATCGGGTTTATAATTAACACCCCCGAATACACAATTGTTATGTATTAACTGACCACAGTCATATCTACCAATAATCACGCAAACACCTCCAACTGCTGTACCAGCTCCTTGTGCCGAGCAACATGTACCACAGAGATTTTTATCTACGTTGTTACAATAGGTAAAGCCATAATGATTGAGGATAGTGCTTGCCACTGCTGCATTAAGAGAAGGTTGTACAAAGTTCCTAACATATATACTATTAAATCAACTAATTCGATGGGCATAAAAGGTGCTGCAAGCCAATAAGATGAGGGTGTGAATATCAATACTTCCCAAATATGAATCTTTTCTTGGCCAAAATTTTTAAAAGCATTTTTCATTGTACCACTGGATCAAAAGGCACTTTGTAGTAAAATTCTGTTAAATATAAGTAAATTCAAATTAAAATGATCAGTGAATAACTGTAATGTGCCAGTAATATCATAATAAATTGAGTCATCCGGTACATGATTATAGAAGTGAGCAAAATCAGTTAGGTGATTATAAATATTTTCAGTAATGTTACTAAAAGAATATTTAATTCCTAGGTAGTGGTTCTGATAAAAGGTAAAAGCATTATCTAATGTTGCAATTATAGATAAAGCAGCAGAATTTTGTCCAGTAAATGGCCATCGATCCCCATCATTTTCAAAATTAAAGGTAGTTCCAGAATCATACATTTGATTGGAATAAGCATAGAGACAATTCAGATTATTTTTATCATCTTTGCTTGTTATTTCGGTGTTGTTGTCTATGTTGTAATTATTTTACAATAATGCATAGCAAGGTAAAGGAAAAAGGATAATGTGGATTAGGAGTATTTCCAAAACTCAAAACTTCGGTTTTCAGATCAACTCGCGACGTGGATGGGTCGTTCACACAGGTATAAGGAAGCTGTTTACTAGCAACTGGCGTAACTTTACTTGTAGAACTATTTTTAGGTCAAATGACCAACCACAATTTGGTTGACACCCGTACATGATGACAATAAGTACAACCCATCTGAGGTTTGATTATAAGATTCTATTTTCTTGACCTTTGTGGAATTAGTATAAAAATGTGCGTCGTGCTCGTTGATGTGGATTACATCATCAGTTAAGATGATGTTGCATACTTCATAGGATAAACCTACGGTAATCCAAACATGAACTGATGAAATAATGGTTAAATAGAAACGTCAATGTTATGTAAAAATGGATGCTATATTTATACTTATTTGAATAATTGATTTTCTTAAATATTGATAATTTGGTGTCATTTATTTGAAACTAAATTATATTCCTTTTATTTTAGAAATAATTTAATAATTGGGTCCAAATAGTCGTGCCAGCATTAATTTTCAGTTTTTTTTCTTTTTCTTTTATTAAAATTAGTAAATTTACATTAAATGTATGATTCGTAATAATTTAAGTGAGTAACTAATTATAAATTTAAATTTAGTTTCAGAAAAAGACCAATACAGACGTTTATTAGAATTAGCCTGATTCGAATCAACTCGAATCAATGCCTGATTCGAATTAACTCGGATCATATCCAATTTTCAAAAATAAAAGATAATGTCGTACAATAATCTCCAATTGATCTAAATCATCCGAATTGAGAATTAACCCCCGGATCATCCGAATTTTTTATTATAATACGAAACGTAGCCTATTTTTTTAATTTAATTCTTTATTTCAAAATGAAAATTAATTTGAAGATTCGGATGTCAACCTATCACTAATAATTAAAAATATTTTTAAACATGTCTTTTTGATATTTTTTTATATTTTCGCTTTGAACAGAGAGTTAAATATAATACGAATTCAAGAAGTTAAGATTAATTTGATTGGCCTAACTTTTTATGAAACCCGGACGTTAATTTTTTAATGTCAGGCTCAAATTCAATAATCGGAGGAATGATCGAAATTGAATTTTTTTAGACAGAAGAGACGTCTTTTCACTTGTTTGTTGATAGAATTTAATGGCAATGGAACATAAAGTTTACGATAATTACTTAAATTAATTAATTGAGATTTTTTTT